GCTTAGGGTTAGGGGTTTGGTGTGCAGAAGAAAAACTAGGCAGGCCCTTGGGGTCATTTTCTCTTACTGGGTTGAAAAGGATCCTATTCAGGAATATTTCTCTGAGGGTTTATATCACCTTATATACCTTGTATAGTCACCTACATACCTAGCGCCCAAATCAGCCCTAAATAACCCCTTTTTGGGTTTTCAGGGGCCATCCTAGAAGCCAGGCCGAGTGGATTTAGCCCAGCCCTCCTTCGGCGAGGACGGGCACCAAAAACTACCAAGCGATCCGAGGGGACCCCCAATATAGATCCCCAAATAGTAGGATTCCCTCATAATAAGTACCACGATCAGGTACCCCTATCTCGGAAACCCCCATATGAGCCCTTTCTCCGCGCAAAAAGGTCACCTCAAGCCCACACCCTGAACCCAACCCAACCTCAACCCCACAAGCAACTCGAGCGCGAGAGAAAGGCTTGAGGGGTTTGCTGGGTTTACGGAATATGTGAGTTCACGAAAATAGGGACCCGAAATATGGACCCCCAAATAATAGCATGCCCGTGTAATAGGACCCCAATAAGGCACCAAAGGTACCCCTAAACCCTTAACCCTTAACCCAAACCCTAGACCCTAAACCCGAAACCTTCGTAAGGTTCAATCTTCCTCCTGCTGCTGGACATCGAGTTCTGGTTCAACACTTTTGGGGCTTAAGGCTTAGAGTTCAGGGTCCTAAGCCCTAAACCCTAAACCCTAAACCCCAAGCCCTAAACCCTAAACCCGAAACCCTGAACCCTAAACATCCCAAAGCCCTAAACATCCCTATGCCCTAAACCCTAAACCCCAAACCCCAAACCCTAAACCCTAAACCCTAAACCCTAAACCCCAAGCCCGAAACCCGAAACCCTGAACTCTGAGCATCCCTCAGCCCCAAAAGGGCAAGTGCCTCCTGGGAAAAAGACTCTGAAGGCCGACCTGCCTGAGCCTTTGATTCAGCCACCCCGTTTAGGATCTAGGGTTTAGGGTTTAGGATTTAGGGTTTAGGATTTAGGGTTTAGGGCTAGAGGTTTGCAATTTTTGGGGCTGATGGAGCTTAGGGCGGAAAAAGAACAGACTGTAGGGCATAGGGAGGTTCGGGTTCAGCTTCTAGGGTTCAAACATGCACCCTAATAAGTTCAGCTACTCTTGGTGCCAGGAGATCTTCCATTAAGCGGCGAATCTCGTGAGCTTCCAGTAGTTGGGCATGCAGCGTGAACCAGAGTTTCTTGGCTCCCCGCAACCTCCTAAAACCACGCCTCCCCCCCCCCCCCCCACGAACAGTTTGGATTCAGGTACCCTAAGCCCTAAACATCCCTAAACCCTAAACCCCAAACCCTAGTTTTTCTTTGGGGGGGTCTCCTAACAGGAGATACAGGGTGCCGGGGGCCCTTGAGTTCTAGCTCCCGCTTCTCACCCGGGAGTACCTTTGAATGTGCACCAGTTTTAGCTTCAAGAGCAGCCCCGTGAGAAAAGCATCTGCGGTTTAGGGTTTAGGGTTTAGGGTTTAGGGTTTAGGGTTTAGGGTTTAGGATGTAAGGTTTAGGGTTTAAGGATCAAAATCCAGCCCTAAATGCCAAGCACCATCGTACCCTGTAATTACCTGAGCCCCAAGCCGTATATCGCAGCCAGGGTCAAACCCTCCAGGGGGCTGGTCTTGAGGAGTTTCTGAAGGTGCAGAGCCTTGCATCAGAGTGTTGCAACGTGCTCTTCGGTTTCACCTTTCATCGTCGATCCTGCGTCCGGGCCAATCTTGCCTAGTGTCGGTTCACCAGACCTCTTCAGCTGAAGCTGAGTTCGCCTCCAAGTTTCAACGCGAAAAAGTGTGATTTGGTGACAGGGGGCCTCCTGCGACATCGCTTCACCTCGTGTTCACCTCAAAACAATATGCCTAAGCAAGTGCCGTCGCCGAGCGAGCTGTCCACGCCAGCCGACACTCAAGCCTCAAGAAATCCGAGCAGCTTCTTTAAACCAATCTTGCATCATAACCTCTTGGTGTGTGGAGGATTGTTTGAGAGTCATACAGCTTGTACTAAACACCAACCTACCAATTGCTTAAGAACCCCCAAAAAATAAAACATATTCTTCCTTGTAAGGGTAAAATAGGATTATTCATTTTATTTTTTGGGGGTTCTCAAGCAAATAATAGCAACTGTTCATGTCTTTGCGGACATTGGGCAGACATAGAATTGCGGCCCTACAATGGGTGAAGACGAGTCGGAAGTTGACTGCTGCGAGTATGAGCGTGAAGGGGACGGCGAGATCCGCCACGTTCCTTTTACTCATGAAGTTCCTGGGGCTTTGGAGTTGCCAGGGGTTGCCAGCAAAACCGGTATTTGCTAGATTGTTTTAAGTACTCTGTTTTCGTTTATTGCTTGTATATGTATTGTTATGTTCGTTTTTTTCTGTGGGCATCTGTTGCATTGCTTTCGACGGTCCTTGCTATTTACTATAATTACTCTGTTTGCTTTTACTGCTTGTATACGTATTGTTATGTCTTTTTTTTTCCGGTGGGCGTCGTTTGCATTGCTTTTCGACGGTCCTTGCTAGCACTGCTTGCGATGATGGGTACCTTCCACTGTACCAGCATTTAGATGTGCTTGTCATGTAATATGCTGTTGTTGCTGGTCGCATCCTGCAACTGGACACACTGTCACCATTGGAAGAATCATGGCAGCGTCTTCTCGTGTATTTCTTGGAACGTAGCCTTGTCCAAAGTCGTCCTCCATTTGCAGGACTGTATACTTTTGCCTGTGAGTTCCACCTGATTCTACCCACCAGCTCCCCTAAAAAGAAAGAAAATACTCGACTACGAGGTTCTGCAGTGCTTCTGCGAGTGCACAGACCTCGACAAGCTTGTGGACGATTACCTGCACCTTGTCCTTCGGGTTTATAGGGTTTCAAGTTTTTGCTCTTAAAGCCGGGCTACACCAGGTCGCAAGGGCGTTTGTGCCTTTGTGTTCATGACGTCGCTTGAGGGAGTAGACTTGCTTTCTAGTGGTTGCCGAGGATGTCCAGGGGTGCTAAAACTTAACCCTAAACCCGAAACCCTAAACCCTAAACCTTAAACCCTAAACCCAAGAATTCGAGAGTCGCAGCCGTCAGCTGGGGCTGCATGCAATCGGGGTGATACTCTTACTGCGAGTACCTCTTGGGTAGAAGAGGGGACAACCTATCCCTCTTCTATCCCTTCTACCCAAACCTGAACACCCGAACATCCCTGCCCTTAAGCCCTGAAACCCTAAACCCGCTAGAACCCCTGAACCTAAAGCCTAAACCCAAAACCTTAAACTTGGGATATTCCCCCTTATACTACCAGTCCTCAATAGGGATTCTAGTACGCCCCCCCCCTTTATAGGACTCTTAGCTTTAGGCGGGCACATCTCAACATTAAACCCTGCGCCCTGAACCCTAAACCCTAAACCCTAAACCCTAAACCCTAAACCCTACAGCCCAAAGGAATTCCTGCTGCAGCGGGCCGGCCTCAAAGACTCCTCCGCGGGAGCGGCTGCTGCGCGCGCCTTGGGCAGCACACTGTGGTTTAGGATTTTGGGTTTAGGTTTATTTAGGGTTAGGGTTTAGGGTTTAGGATTTAGGGTTTAGGATTTAGGGTTTAGGGTTCTTTAGGGTTAGGGTTTAGGGTTTAGGATTTAAGGTTTAGAGTTGGGTGGTAAGTCTTTGCATCTCTTGAACTTTTTTCTGAGCCGTCGAGCCTACAACCACAAGAAGACTTTTCAGTTCATAAACCCTCGAGCCCTGTAAGCCCTGCAACGCTCCCGTCAATAACATAATTCCATACTCTTTTGTAACAGCAACATAATGCTATATGCTTTTCGCAACTTAAAGCAACTAGTGACCTAAGAACATAAAGTGCACAATGCAAAATAACAGTAAGAAGAAGAACAATAATAATAATCATACTATTAGAATGATAATCATACTAACATTAGCATCATAATCATAATACAAATAATCATGATCATATTCATAATAGCCATATTTTGTAATAGCATATCCGGAAAGGTATTCTTGACCGCTTCCGATCGCTGCCGGATCCCCTGGTTCGGGGGCGCCCGGCGCCTGAACGCCGGCGCAGTGGCCGCGCCCGCGGCGCTGCTCGCGCTCCGGGGCCTGCTGCGCCTCTCTACATGGGTGGCTTGGGGTTTAAGGTTTAGGGTTCAGGGTTTTGGGTTCAGGGTTTAGGGTTTAGGGTTTAGGGCTCAGGGTTCAGCGTTCAGGGTTCAGGGTTTAGGGCAGGGGATCGAGTGTCTGGGGTGCCCGATAAATTTGGGGGATGCTTCGGGTCTTGTAAGGTTTCCTGAGGCTTGTCTTTTTGAGCAGTGGGTTGGTTGCCCCAACCTCGGCAGTAAGGACCCCACAAGTAGTTGCCGGATGATCGTCAGAAGGTCCAAGTTCTTATGGCTTCGGGGCAGCCCACATCATTTCAGGTCTATCGGGCTCTGACAGGCGCTGTGCAGCCTTCCCAAATTGTTCTCCAAGCGTAGGCCGAGGTTCATGGAATGCGAAGTCTCCCTTTTACGCCCCGACGCCCGAAGCCCGAAACCGAAAGAGTCTTTGAACCTAACGGGCGTCTGGAGTTAGGCCTTTTGAAAGGCCCATTGTCATTTTCTCGGCAATCTGGGCACTATAGGGTTTCGGGTGCCTTGCGAATCCGAAGCCGCAAAGCCTACCAGGTTATAGGGCGAGGCTTTTGTAGGTATAGGCAGGGTTCTGGGAGCATCAGGGAACGTTGGGTTACACACCCCCCCTTGAACCCCCCCGTCCCTTAAGCCTATAAACGCCCCTACACCCTAACCCTGAACCTTAAACCCCCCCTTGAACCCCCCTCCCTTAAGCCTATAAACGCCCCTACACCCTAACCCTGAACCTTAAACCCCCCTTGAACTCCCCAGTCTCGAGGCACCCTGGATCTGTTTGTGGCTGGTGGTGGGGGCCTGCCACCTTGCCTGGTTCCACGTTGCATGCTTGCCCCTAGGCTGCTCTAATGTAGCCTAGAATCCCTCTGCAACCTGTGCCCAAACCTGAACTAACCCCTGACCGCAACCCTAAACCCCTAAACCCCTAAACTCCTAAACTCCTAAACCCCTACTAAGCCTCTTCGACCGCCCTAAGCCCTAATAGCCGAAACTTCTACCAGCCCAAAAAACCTTCAAACCTCTCAGATCTTACTCCATTACGCCCTCAGAGCCTAAGACCCTAGAATACCCATATATCCTAGTACCCTAACACCTTAAACCCTATAAGACCTATCAGAACTGAAGTGATTGGCTCAGGTCCCTGCCCTTGAGATCCGACTACTTCGTGAGCTGGGTTGCCTGCTCCATCGCCGGACTCTACGTCGAATACTGGTCCGAGGTACTTCCCAGGCCATATGTTTTTGTTCGGGGGGGGGGGTGAACTCACATAGAGTTTATTTCTCTGAATAGAAACCCTAAACCCTAAACCTCAAACTAAGCTTACGGTGTACTTGTGGTTTTGCAGTTTTGTGCACGCTCCATCGGTTCGGTCTCATGATTTGGGAGCCCTGAGCTTGTTTTCCACAGAAGGGAGCAGGATTTAACTACTCCAGGTTGGTTTTTGGAACATTTTGATTTTCCTTATTTGGGTTGTTAAGGGACCCTATATATAGATATTTTCCAGAGGCTTTAAAGGCCAACCTAGTACTCCCAGACCTTGCATGCATTGGGAAGGGGGGGGGGGGGGGGGCAGGAGGCTGGAAATTTGATCTAAAAATAGATTTATATATGTATGTGCCATGTAAAAAGGTATAGGCCTAGTATATATTTTTTATGCCAGCTTAAACCCAAAACAGTGCGAGCCTACGGGGACACCCAAAAAAACGAGACACCCACGACACTTCAAGGACCACACGTGCGGCAGCATCAGACACGCACGAACAACAAAGAACATTACCATCAAATGGGGGGTCAACGAAAATAAGGGACCCCTATAATATTCACCCCGAAATAGTAGGATTCCCTTACAAGGAGGACCCAATAAGGTACCCCTAAAATTTCGGATACCCCCATATAGGACTGAGGACAGTTTGGAGCTCAGGCACCTTTAGGACATCGTGTTAATTCTAAGGGAAGAGCGTCATGGGCCCTTAACATGGTACATAAGCTGGTATATAAGGGGTTCCCTTTCAAGGGCCCAGATGCATGGCTTCATAAACTCATGTGAGGTCTGGTTTTTATCATGGTATTTGGCGAGTCTACACAATAGACCATGAAACTTAGGGTTTAGGGTTTAGGGTTTAGGGTTTAGGGTTTAGGGTTTAGGGTTTAGGGTTTAGGGTTTAGGGTTTTCTATGGACTGCTGAGAGGCAGGCGTGGGCGTCCACGGTGTCTTGCCATGGACTGCTGCTGATTGTGGTGGCTTCGTTTGCTTCCGCCGTGTGCATCTTGGCTTTCTTCTGGATGGTGTTTCGGACTTGAAGCTTTGGGATGTTTGTAGAAGCTACAACAAGGAGCCTATAAGTTAAACTTCTAGGAGGGGTTCAGAAGTCAGCCAAGGCATCTCCCCACCAGTGCAGGAGGCTCCTCGATTTCAGCAGTTGAGAGCTGTCACTCAAAATTTGCAGCCAGGACTTGGAAAAGAACAGGTATTTGCCTCTGTCTACGGCTATGAAATACATACGTATACATGTAAAAAAGATGATGGTGACAACAGTTTGTGTATATTCATACACACACATACGTTCCTGCGTACCCTCCACCCCTCGACCTGTGGAACGCCACCCTGGTAAGAAGCCTCTGTCGACAGCAAGAGGATGAAGAGACCGCGCCAGCGTGGCCACAGGAGGACAATTCCCGGTGGTGTCTTGGGCATGGAGCAGGCAACGTTTCATCTAGGACCGGGAGTAGGCATAAGGGCTCATGTACCTATAGCGCCTGACTAAAAGGGTTCAGTAGATAGACGACATAGGCACATGGACCCTTGTATAGGGTGTGCATCCCCGGCCAGTAAGGTACTTGTGCAAAGTCTGCGGCCATTCCGTCTATGGTCGAGATCATCATTGCGCGCGGGGCCTTGTTGTTCTCCTCTGGGCACTTCAGACTTTATGTGCAGTGCGGTGTATATTCCTTGTATCCCGAAAAAGGACGTTATATATTCACTCACGAGTATCAAAAAGGAATTTCATATACACTCACCAACAGAAGCAATATAAACCCTGCTTGAATGTAAGCATCCCTGGGTCTGAAAGAGAGCGGTGAGCCCAAGGTGTGGATAAATCAATGCGTGGGCGCACACAACCACCGATCCTTTGTGCTCTTCCTCACCAGCTTGACCACCCTGGCGTGGGCCTATGCATTCATGGTGCTCTCTGCATCCGCATCGCAGGAAGGAGAGACGCCCTTCAACTATCTGATGCTGCATCTGGCAGACTGGCGCCTGAAGCCTTCGATGGCCGGGGCGCTATATGCGTTTGGCGGTGGCCTCTTCACCGTCATGCTGCTACTCGGACAGCTCTTGACAATCAGCCTCCTGGACCGCAAACAGCGTTCCCGAAGTCCCCCCTGTGGACTCCCTAAGAACCTGGCACTTACATCCCCTCAAGATACAATCTCAAAATGAACTCTAAGAGGCTATACTATTAATCCTATTAACACGATTATGGAATCCTATGAATATCATTCATACTATTAGATACGATGAATACGATTATTATTATGAATACGATGAATCCTATGCATGCCTGTTCTACTATTCATACTACTCAGATTGCTCGTGGCAGGCAAGGGCCTCACCGGCCATGAGCTGCGTCGACGGGAGCGGCGACCGCAAAGGAAGTCCGGCTGCCTGCAAAATTGGCGGAGCTGGCTCGCCGGCGGAGTTCAAAAAGCCTGTGATAAACCCTAAACCCTAAACACTATAAACCCTAAACCCTAACCCTAAATAAACCTTAGCCCTAAACCTAAACCCTAAACCCTTCTCGACATCGCATGTGCGCTTGTTCTCCCTCCTAATTATTCTCCCCGCGAGTAGTGTTTGTGAATGCAGGAAGACGCGCTGGAGTCGAGTTCCCGCCAGGCCCAACTATTCAGCTCCGCAGGGTTTGTTGCGACGGTGGCGGGCCCGCGCATGTCGGCATGACTCACGATCAAGCGGGAGCTTTCCAATTCGCCGCACAATTCGTGAGTCGCAGTCGCTCCGGACGCCTGAACCTGGAACCCGTCACGCCCGGTAGTTTGTCGGGATCGCGCTGCAACGTGCCTCGCAAGATCTGGACGTACGCCAGATGTCCGAAACATGCACAGTAAGTATCAAAAATCAGAAGACCGCAGCCCTATCAATGTGGCAGGATTTTAGAGACTTAAAGGCGAGTTATTGCACAAACGGCCAACGCAGCAGGACAGATCTGGACAGTCACAAACCGACGTTACGGCAATGAAGCGTCGCGTTTAAGTCATGATTGCATGGTCTATGGCTGACATGCAGACCCAGCAGCCCACATCGTGGATTCGACGAGCTGGGGCGATCGGTCAGCGAAGCCGTTCGACGCAGGCGACGCTGCACACACAATGTACCTGGCCTCTTGACGTGCAGGATGCGCTTCAGCGCCGAGGCTGCGACTTTCCTCCATCTCCTGGTCCTCCATCATACAGTAGCGCTTCCTGATCATCGATCGGGTTGTCTGAGTGTCGCAGGTGGGTGCTGCTCATCTCTTCCTTACTTGAGCTCCCCATCTGGTTCCGAGGCCAACGTCCAACGGAGACGACGCAGACGAAGCAAGGGCAACTGGCTGGCGAGTGGCAGGGGGCTTCGGGAGGAGGTGGCTGGGTTTTAAGGTTTAATGGGTTTCGGATTTAGGGACAATAGGGTTTTAAGGCCATCGACATTTGTTGCACTGGCAGTGGACGGACCGAAACACAAACGCGGCCAATGGCAATCCGGGATTAAGACAGGCACGGCGGTCAGCGCCTTCCGTTTTTCGCGGCGTTGCCCGATGAGGTCACGGACTCCCATCCGGGAGAACTCCGTCGTGCCGCCGGCTAGCTTGGTGTCGTGGACGGATGGCACTACATCCGCGATCTGTTTGTGGTGCGTCGCTTGGTTCCAAACCCAGCCTCATATGAGGCTTTCTCGCATTGAGCTCGCACGTCGCAGTGCTTTTGTTCAGGCGCAGGCGTCGCTGTGAAGTTTTGAGGCCTATCTTTCACTGGCAGGCGCAGCACGGCCTCTCCAACCACGGATTGTCGTGTGTTGCCGGGGATTCAGAAGACGGAGGTGGTTGCATGGAGTTGATGGAGGCTGCGATGCCGTGATGGAGGCGCTGGGCTGGAGGTTCTGCATGGAGTGGCAGGTTCCGCATGTTCCGCCCTTCCATCCCGCGCCTTTATCCAGGCCCTCCATCCAGAAACCACCTCCATCCAGATGGTTCCATCCATCCCAGGCTGGGGGCTGGAAGGCGCCTCTATCAAGGGCTTCTACTACGACTACTACTACCCTCCGAGGACAGGCAAAACTACTAGGTGAGTGGGGCATACCCGCCCGTGGCTCTGGCAGCGACGACATAATTTTACGTCGAAAAAGTGTGTCTTGGAAAGTTGAAGTAGAGTCAGTGTTCAGAAGCGGTACCCGTAAATCTGAGAACGTCAGGCCAAAAACCGGGGACGGCGATCTGGGACGTAATCATCGTGTGGGCGTGGATGCTCCGGCCGCTCGCACGCACTGGAAGCACTGGAAACACGGACGTGATCATCGCGGGGGCATGCTAGCAACTCGCACGCACAGTTGACAGGTGACACGGACGTAGTGGATGCTTGTGGCCACGCACGGACGTGATCATCGTGCGGGCATGCATGATTGTGCTGGCAGGGATTCATTGCGGCCACTCGCACAAGCTGGTTACACGGATGATACGGATGTGATCATCGTGCGGCCGTGCTTGCCACGGACGTAATCATCGTGCTAGCATGGATGTTCTTGACCTCTCGCACGCATGGGTAACACGGACGTGATCATCGTGCGGGCATGTTGGCCACTCGCACGCTCTGGTGACACGTCCATGGTCCATAATCATTGTGCTAGCATGGATCCTTTTGGCCATTCGCACGCAATTTGGTTACACGGACGTGATCATCATGTTGGCCACTCGCACGCACTGGTGACACAGACGTAGTCATCGTAATGGAATGGGTACTTTCGGCCACTCGCACGCACAGGTGACACGGACGTGGTGGATGTTTGCGGCCACGCACGGACGTGATCATCGTGCGGGCATGCATCATTGTGCTGGCAGGGATTCATTGCGGCCACTTGCACACGCTGGTTACACGGACGTGATCATCGTGCAGCCGTGCTTGCCAGGGACGTAATCATCGTGCTAGCATGGATGTTCTTGACCTCTCGCACGCATGGGTAACACGGACGTGATCATCGTGCGGGCATGTTGGCCACTCGCACGCTCTGGGGACACGTCCATGTTCCATACTCATTGTACTAGCATGGATCCTTTTGGCCACTCGCACGCACTTTGGTACACGGACGTGATCATCATGTTGGCCACTCGCACGCACTAGTGACACAGACGTAGTCATCGTGCTGGGATGGGTACTTTTGGCCACTCGCACGCACTGGTTACACGGACGTGATCATCTTGCGGGCATGTTGGCCACTTGCACGCACTGGTGACACGGACGTAATCATCGTGCTGGCACGGGTGTTTTTTCGCACGCGCTGGTGACACGCGCACAATCATCGTGCCAGCATGGATCTACTTGGCTATTCGCACGCGTTGGTTACACGCACGAGTACATGCACGTGAGCATCGTGCCGGCATGGTGGCCACTCGCGCGCATTGGTGACACGGATGTTATCATCGTATATCATCGTGCTGGCATGGATGTTTTAGGGACCGGTCACACGCACTGGTACCACGGGCCCGCTCATCTTGCGGTTTTGGCCACTCGCATGCACGCGTGACACGGACGTAATCATCGTCCTGGCATGGATGTTTTTGGCTGCTTGCGCGCACCGGTAGCACGGACGTCATCATCGTGCAGGCACGGCAGAGCCAGCATGGATGCCTGTAGACGTACGGGGTCATGGATCTACTCAGCTATGACGTGAGCTCGCTCCACGAGTTCGGCGAGCATGGTCGGATTGCGAGCAAGCCGAAAGCATCATCACATTGCATTAGAGAACTGCAACCGTTGGTAGGTGGCCACTTTATCCTCGCGCGGCTGCAAAGGAAGGGGAAAACGGACCACCGCTTCACATAGGCGGAGATGCCAGCAGCTATGGAGGACCTTGGTACGAGATGGGAGTGCGAGCGTGCGAGTGATTGGCATACCCCGCACGGGCTTGCGTGCATGCCGCGCCTGATATTTTGTGTCGCGCGACATGAGCAGCAACAGCCACGCAAACTGAAGGTTTGGAAACCCCGAGAGTTTGTCAAGCAAACGGGCGTAGCTCAAAGCATGCTTGTCCCGGAGGGCAGCCTGTTTGAAGGCATCATTTCCGAACGGGGGGGCCCAGGACGAGGAAGCCTTGGTGCTCCGGAGGCAGGGACTGGTACGGGCCTTTTCCAGCATGGGTGGGAGCACATTATCGCGAACAATTGACGTCCTCGCCTGCGGAGTTCCAAACAAACGTGTGCACCGCAATGTAAGCGCGGCGACGACTCGCAGGCACGTATGTGTCATCGAGGAACGCGGATAACAACATGTGGCCCGAGTTTGGCGCGCGCCGTGAATACCAACTCCACTAATAGGCCCGCCCGAGCTACCTCGTGTGCAAATCCCGAGCGGTCGTAGAACAGATGATACAGATGCGTGCGGTATCTTGCGGTCACGTCCATTAAACTGTTGGACAAAGGGAATCAGGGAGGCTAGGCGAATATCCTTGCGGAGACCCTCGAACATGGCCGCCATAGGCGCCGACTCCGTCAATACCCAGCACGAGTGGATAGCGTGCACTGGAAGGGGCGCGCATGCGTGAAAGTTTCCTTGCAAGGCAACAGAATGCAACCAACCGCCCACGTCTGCGTGAAACCGTTGCAGTGCCAGCGACGGCGAGGACATTTGCCGGCCCTTGCACTACCCGTGCTGTTGCAACACAACGCTTACCAACGAGGTCACTGCGCTTGCCGAGCTGTACTGTCGAAACGGCACCGCAGGTTGCCACATGTTGCCACCCACCCGCCATATGTGCCGCGCAATCCATTGGTCCAGCCATATTGTTGGCGGCGCCTGCGAAGGCCGCCGCAGGCTAGGCAAGTGTCGGGGTCACGGGGAGGGGGTGTCGGCGCACGCGTTGCCTTGACGGTGCGGAAGCCGTGGATGAAGGGAAGTGTGCGCTGGAACCCCGTGCCCCAATTGATGCGCCCGGTTGTGAACAAGAGCACGTCGGACCTCGCTGCAGAGTTGAGTCGACGAGTGTATATACACGTTGCAAAGCCCGCCACCGTAAACGCGACGCGCACTGCGCCAGGCGTTGTGCGCCTCGACATCGTGCGGGCGGCGTGGTGGAAATGGTTCACGTATGTTGCTACAGGAAATATCAGAATTGAAACGACAAATTGAATTGATTTTTGAAGCACCAGTTTCTTTTTCTCCTGCGGACCTTTTCCCTCCGCTGCGGACGGTGTGTCCCGAGCGGCTAGAAACCGCAGTCGCCGGGACCATCCCGCTGGCTGGGGCGGGGCACAGGCCAAGGGCAGCCCAAGGCCGTGCTGGCGACGGCCTGCTGGACCGACACCGGAACCTGGCTCCACCAGCGCCGCGCCCACGCCGATGCAGCCGCTTGTCGCAGCGCGGGCGGCGCGCGCTGCGCACGGACCCGGACCAGGTCGCGCATGAGTTGAAGGACGCCCTGGCTCCACAGCACCAGGGTGCCCGAGCGGAACCCCGACAGCAAGGCTGCTGCGTGTTGCAACAGTGTTGCAACGGTTTCCGGACCGGCCACTGCCGCCAATGCGCAACTCCACGCCCAGGGGGCGCTCACAGCTCCTTGCCAAGGGACACGTGCCGGCGAGGGCAGTCGGTCTGCGCACGACGCACCCTGACACATCATAGCTTGCAGCCCCCTCAACTAGACGGACCGCATGTAGACGTGCAACAAGTGGCGACAGCGAAACGGTTGGAGCTGACGGCATGCCGCCGCCGGTTGCCGCCTAGCGAGTGAGCTGGCAAGACTCGGCTGCTTCACTGCCGAGGCGAGGAGCGTGTCGGTACGGCCCGGGGGTCAAGCAACGCAAGCCGCCTGTGGGTCGGCAGGTCGTTTTGTACGGTGTGATCGGACAACTCATCGCCACTCAACGCGAACTTTTCCCAATACCCGTGCATGCGAGTTGCCAAGACAACCATACCCGCACGATGAGCACGTCCGTGTTGGCAGCGCGTGCGAGTGGCCAGCGTGGGGTCAATAGCTTTCCTTGACGGCAAACGTTCAATGGCCAATTTCAAATCACCCGAAATTGTTTTCGGCATCGGAACAAGTCACGTGCTTGTGGTCAAAGTTGGTTTGCTCAGTATGCATATATGTTCGTTTGTCCTTGCGGGCAGCGACGGCCATCGGCTGTTACGCCCTATATGATTGTACACTGAGTTGTGCCGCTGTCGGTACCTTGCTAGTAATCTTGGGTACCGAGTTTGGCGGACCCATCCATATGGCAGTGGCGCTTGAGTACCTACATTTGCGAAACGCTCACACTCAAGGAGGCAGACAATTGTTTGCGCGGGTTTTGGCTCATTTCTGCTTTGTCCTATTATGAGACTACTACCAGCCATGGCTTCGATTTCAACCCCATGGCGAGCGAGACGCAATCAAACCCTGACGAGGACGGTATCACTAGGCAGTGTATATATACACATAATAGTGGGGGTCTGGAATGGTGACCCTGAGGGTCAGGGAATCGGAAGTTTGAAATGGGGATAGGACCATTTTAGACCTTTCCCAGCTTACCCATTTCACGTCAACCCTTCACTGAAGGGTCTCACGATCTTTCCGTTGTGGTCTGGAGAACCAAACAATAGCTAACACCGACAAGTCCATAACCAACAAAAGTCTGAATTGCATTTTTTCAAATTATACCCAGCTCCCAGGAAAAGCCACAGTTGGGGGTCCATAATGGCCCCAACCCCACCCCCTCACAAACTGAGGTATGTGTGTGTAGTCATGTATGTATGTGTGTGTATGTGTGCATGTGTGCATGTGTGTATGTGTGTGCGGGTGTGTGTGTGTGTGTGTGTGTGTGTGTGTGTGTGTGTGTGTGTGTGTGTATGTGTGTATGTGTGTATATGTGTATGTGTGTATGTGTGTATGTGTGTATGTGTGTGTGTGTGTGTGTGTGTCGTTTTTTCTGGCAATTATCTCGCGTTGGCTGTCGTTGTTTGTTGAATCGTTTCTCCTTTTATTATCCCTTTTTCCAAAGTTGTCCAGGCTTCCAATCGCAGGAGCTATGCCTGAAGGCCGCTCCTACTCCTGAAGGCTGCGTGGAGCCTAACCACGGACTGTGAATGCTTATAGTGATGTTTTTGTTGGTGTTGTTTTTGTTTAATTCTCTCTCCCTTTCTCTCGTTCTCTCTCTCTCGCTCTCTCTCGCTCTCTCTCGCTCTCTCTCTCTCTCTCTTCTCTTTTCCGTTCACGTGCTCTTTTTTTCTGTCACGCGCCGAAGTGCCGAGTTGGGGTCAAGCCGGTCAAGCCTGGCCTCGTTACGAAACTTCCCCCACACCCCCCACGAACGGAACATCCCGAACTAAGTGATTGATGATTGTTTCTTTCTCTTTCTCTCTTTCTTATCATTTGTTCTTTCTTTCTTTCTCTCGCGCTCTCTCTCTCTCTCTCGCGCACTATCCCCCTTACTTTTTTTGTTTACAGTATGGCAAATCGCAAATCCAGTGGAGCGAGTTCACAGACTTGGGCAGGACCGTCAGCACATTCGAGCCAAAGCCGCCGAAGAGGCCAAGAGCGAAACTTGCTGGTGTTTTTGCAGTTGCTCTAGCAGTTGCTGTAACAGCTGGTGGTGTTGGTGCTGGTTGCTGTTTTGGCTGCTGATTGGGTGGATGCGTTTTTGTTGCTTCCACTTTGTGACTCGAAGCAAAGCTCTGGTACAAAAACACAATGTTTTCGCACGCGACTTCTGGCTTTGTGCAAAGGACCCCGTGCCAACACCTTGTGTTCACACCTTCCACTATTATTCTTAATTGTTCTGATGATGTTGTCGTTGTTGAAGTATTGTTATATGTGATGGTTGCTATCATTGCTGCTGTTGCCGTCATTGTTGTTGAGGGTGGTGTGATTGTTGCTCGACCTTGAAATGACATGTTGTTCGTTTAGGATGTGTTGTGAGGATGTTGCGGTGATGATGGTGATGATGGTGATGATGGTGATGATGGTGATGATGGTGATGATGGTGATGATGGTGATGATGGTGGTTGTGGTGGTGGTGGTGCTGCTCCTGCTCCTGCTGCTGCTGCTGCTGCTGCTGCTGCTGCTGCTGCTGCTGCTGCTGCTGCTGCTGCTGCTGCTTCTGCTGCTGCTGCTGCTGCTACTTTACTAATTTTATGCTGCTTGAAGCTATGTTATGCTATCTTATGCTATTTGCGCAGTTTATGCTGTTCTTGGAAACATTTATGCATATTGTATGCAATTTTCTTTTTGGGCTTTAGACCGGAAGAACCTCGGGACATTGTTGCTGCTGCTGCTGCTGCTGCTGCTGCGGCGAAGGGCACGGTGCAAGCCAGCAGGAGCGTCAACAAATTCGAGCCAAAGCTGCCGAAGAGGCCTGTCGTTGTCATTAAAAAGATGGTGCAGCTGTTGTACGTTGAGCGTTTGATGGAGGCCATTTCGCCTGTGCATTTCCAAGCCACGTCGCAGGTCTACCGCCAAGCGCAAGCAGCGAAAAAGCTTTTGAACGCGCGGGCGGCCTATGTTTTTGTTAATGTCGAGATATGGTTTTTGCCAATTTTACCCCCTGTTTGCCGCGCCTTGCTTCAAGGCTCGAAAAGGGCCGTTTCCGGCCAGGGCCCGATTCGAAACCGGCTGCATCGTCACACCTGCAGCGACACAGGGCAGCTCGGGCTGCATCTTGCAGCAGCAACTGCGCTGCACACCTGCTGACTGTCCTAATTACAGCTGTTGTGTTGTCTTGCAGGATTGTCAGGAACTTCGTGGGGATTCGATGAAGGTCACGCGGGCCAAGTCCAGCCGGAGCAAGGCAGCAAGGGGACCCAGGCCGGACGAACCCGGAAAAATCCTGCAAAAAGGCCTTCTTCCTGGAGGACAAGGAAAACGGCACCAAGGGCTTCGGTTCAATGAGGGTGGCGTCAGCATATCAATTCATTGGCCCTCCCCCGTCCCCCCCTCCCCACAGGTTGGCCGCTTTAATGAGCATAACAAGCAAAGGGCTGGACGTGTGCAATTTCAAGTACTGCGTTTCCCGAGCACATCGCAACAGCCCTGCGTGCCAGGTTCGAGCAGATCCGCAGAGAACTGGTCATCAATCGGCTGTGTTCGGATTCCGAAGGCTCCGCAGATTTCACTGTCCCACTGTCTCCACTCTCGACAAGCTCTGATTCGACGTGGATTGGTTTCAAAGACTGGGATGCCGAGAATTTGCAACACCAGACGTGCTCACACCAGGCAAGCGGTCTTCAGACGCGTCGCGCCCCAGAAGACGAAGCGGACCAAGCATGCATTTCTCCCGCTGAACACAGCCGACGGAGTTTGAAAAGCGCGCCCACGGAGAGCATCGATGAGCTGTGCTGGGCAACCTCAGACATGCCATTGGAGTCCGTGACGAGCTGGACGGAGGCGTGCGTTGAAGCAACACCACAGATGGATGCAGGGTGTTCATTGCAAGTGTCTTGTCGGTAAAAGGCTGTCGCACAACTATGTGGCCATTCACGTGTTGAGGTTGATCCGGCAGCCACATTTTGTTCTGCCACATTGCTGCGCCAAGGAAGCTCGAGCATTTTGCCACATGTGCCTAGTGCAGGCCGGTCGTTAAGAGGCATCAGCTACATGAGCAGCGGTTTTTTTTTTTACGGCTCTTGAGAGATACTTATATGCGGAAATAACTCCGGGAACCGGGGCGTGAAAGTGCACGGAACTGTGGCCGCGGAAGCACGCGGAAGGGCACATCTCCGCGGAAGCTCCCGCGGAAGCGACGATAGAAACAATTTTGGTTTGAGTGCTTGTTATATTCCAGGAGGCTAGTGGGCGTGTTGTTTGGTGTGGGTTTCGGAAGTCTGGTTCCGAGTGGGTTATGCAGATTGGTGTTTTCTGGGAGTTTTGCGGTTACAACCCTTCGTACGAAAGCATGGACGCAGTTCGGAATAAGGCTTCTTTTGAGACCCTAAGCTTCCTACACAAAGTTTTTAAAAAAGCCCTAAACCCGTGTAAACTCTCAACCCCAAAGCAAGCAAGTCAGATTTTCAGGCTTGAGCGCCCCCAAACCTGGCTTCGAGGCCTTCTATCCGTGAAGTTTGATGCGAACTCGGCGGAAGCGCCGCGGAAGCGCCGCGGAAGCTCCGCGGAAGCTCCGCGGAAGCCCGCGTGCCCATCTGAAGGCCCAGGCCCTTCCTACTGAGTCCATGTTCTTGAAAGTAGATGGTACCGCTGCGCAGCTGCTGCCAGCTCAATGCAGCATTCTCATGGAACGCGTGTCTCATCGTGTAGTCTCAAAGTTCCAGACGCGTGTTCGAGTTTATATCTTACGGACCTACTCGCGGAAGCAAGTTTCTCAAAAATGCGCGAAATTAGTCCGCGGAAGCGTCCGCGGAAGCAAAGGAAGCCGACGAGCAGAAACAATACTCGTGGAAGGACCGCGGAAGGGTTCCGCGGAAGGGTTCGTTATTTCATAGAAAATCTTCTAGGAATAAAAACCACGGCTCACATGGCGTCGCGTCATGAAATTGCATGATTACAAGTGCATGCCGTTCTCCCGCCCCCCAGATTATAGAACACTAGGACAAACATGCGAATAACAGGCCGACCGGGCACGGGCGGAACATGCAGAACTTGCAGGCCAAGAAGCTGAAGAGGCTTGCGGCTACAACAGCCAGTTGGTTCATTTGTTTCAGATTGTGTGATTCTTCTGTGTCTCTGTTTGTTTCTTTGTCTGTCTCTGTGCCCTTGTCTGTCCGTGGGTGCGTGCGTGGTTGGTTGGTCGTTGTGTTGGGGTTTTGGTGTGGTGGTGGGTCTTGCTGGTGCGTTGGTGGTGCTAGTGATGTTATTGTGCGGGGGGGGGGTGTGATTGCGTGGGAGGTATGCCAGCAGTCAACGGACTCTCCAGCTGATTTGGTGGCTCGTATATCCACCTTCCAGGACTGGCGGATGCACATTTGAGTTACAACGTCTATATCCCCCTTGGGAATTAATTTTTTGTTTATGTGAAACCTAAGAGGATATCAAACATATTTTATTAAGGCTCTAAGGGGAGTATAGGTGTCCCAGAAGAGGGCGCATTGCCGTCACGAGGAAGCCCGTTCCTTCGCATTCTTATGCTTGAAGGCACGTGCGCAACTCGTCGTTTCCAGCTCACCCCATCCAACCTCAAATGCTGGTCCCACATGATTGCCGCAGGCCATAGAAGAATACGAAGCACAGAGTGAGGCGATTCGAACTTTGAAAGCACAAGGCGCGTGACGCCAATTCGGATCCCAGCGCTGGGTAGTGCAGCCGAACTGCGAGAAGTTGGATGCCTGCTTTGTTTGCAACAGTCAATAGTATCAATACTTCGAGACGTTGGAGCTGATATTTCCTCAAGCTTGTTGCAATTTATGGCACCAAGCCTGCCATCCCGAAATCTTGGCGTAGCAGGCTCGTGTTTTTTGCACGCCCCATACTTCATCTACGCCCTAAACCCTAAACCCTTCACCCTAAACCCTAAACGGAGATGGTGCTGCAGAAACCCTAAATCCGAAGTCTTAGCTTCTAGATCCCAGATTCAAGAAGTGCCCCTGTCAACTTCTTTCTAGGTTTTCTAGCGCCCGGGATTCTAGACGGCCAGGAAATGCATGACTTGTAACGTGATGAGAGAAGTGATTGAATGAACACGCCAGTACTAATAACCCTGAACCCTAAACCCTAAACCTTGATGATAAGACCGGACCTGCCTTGGCATGCTTTCGGCTTCCATGGGGACCAAACCGAAAATTGGGGGGTTTAGGGTTTAGCGTTTAGGGCTTAGGGTTTAGGGTTTAGGGTTTAAGGTTTAGGGTTTAGGGTTCAGGGCTTAGGGTTTGCTGTGACAGGGCGTAGATGAGGTGCGAAGAGCAGCTTTGGCCCGATTGTGGAGGGCCATCTAACACCCTTCTCCCACCCCACGCCGTCTAAGGCGGCAAAGCCACCCAAACCGATTCCTTTATTCAGCTAATTGCAGGAGGTCTCGAAGGGCGGGGTCTACCCAGGGCCAGGATTTTTGGATTCTGGCCATGGGGGTTAGAATAGGCCAGCAAAACCGGGGCAAAAACTGCCTGACCTGGGCACGCTGGTGAGGGATCTGGGACCCGCCGAGGCTGGGGCCCTGGGGGTACCCCTCCCGGAACTTGGGCGGGGCCTTAGGTAATGACTTTGTACCGAACCCATCGTTCTCCGAGCTGTGGGAGGCGGGCGAAAGACCTGGATCGGCTTGCGCCATGGAGGTCGAGGGGCTTAGGCGCCCCCCCCCCCCCCAACGGGGTTTAGGGCTTAGGGTCCCTATACTACGAAAACTTGGGATTGTAATCGGGAGTTGTATCATCCCTAGCAATGACTATAATTCCTATTCTAAGCAGCTGAGTAGGTAACCTTTCACCTTTGGGGGTATATAGAATCCTACCATAAGTTGAAAGGTTAACTTTTTTGGGCCCAGGGTATTCAGCAGCTAGGCATTAATAAACTTCAAGGCTAAGGTTGCTAGTTCCCTTACATATACATATATCTACATATACCCTATACGACCATAGTTAGTTCCTGTTAAGGTACATGAACCCTAAACCCTAAACCCCAAACCCTAAACCCTAAACCCTAAGCCCATTTGGGGTTCATTTGGCTTCCCAGAGTTGGCGCGCGGATGTGCCAAGCATCGAATGATGGGTTTCTGGCCCGGCTTCCAAACGGCACAGCCGGCCGTAGGTGCACGTACTATAAGGGTCGGAGGAAGAAATGCTAATCGTATTCCCTTATGGTCCTTCAAAAGTCTGGTCCTTTAAAAGTATACTATCTAGACTAGCCCCCCAAGAACCCTTTTCTAATGATTCAGGCCCCTATAGAGCGCAGCGATGCGAGAGCCACAATGTCGCTTGTCGCAAGCAGCTAGCGAGCAAAAGTTGCATCCGGGCTTGTCAACAGCGCTGGTGCAACCGAGCGCGTTCGTTCTTTTGCATGCAGTCTTTTTCACGACATGCTGCACATGGGACCTATCATCATGCAACCCTAAACCCTAAACCCTAAACCCTAAACCCTAAACCCTAACATCTTGCTGCAGTTTTTTTCAAGGGAGGGGCTGATCCGGCCGATCCAACTCACGGGTCGCCGTGAGGACGATGTCGACCTGGGAAAGGACCATCTGAAGACCTGCTCGGGAAATGCGGGTTTGGGGTTTAGGGTTTAGGTTTTAGGGTGCGGTATGAATGTGAACTTCGTTTCGTTTGAAACATGCGGCTTCAGAATTACACTTGCAGTTGGGAGCCCACGCAGGAGCAGCGTGTGCATGGCGCCGGCCAAAGAGGAGGGCCGTTGTCAGTGTTAGCCTTGCAGTATGCTGGTATAAATCCTAAACCCTAAACCCTAAACCCTACTGTAAACCCTAAGAGCGATGCCTCCATGAACCCGCGAGATGTTTGCTGACAGAGGCGTCTCCTTCAGTCTTCGAGCGCGGCATGCTCCAGCCACAGGAGGGGCATTTAGGGTTTAGGGTTTAGGGTTTGTGGTTTAGGGTTTAGGGTTTAGGGGCTGGAGGGTGGAGGGTGGGGGGGGGGGGGGGAAACCTGAACCTTAAACCCTGAACTTCCGGCACTTACACCATGCACTACAGACCATGAACCGCAGGGGAGGCAGGGGCCGGAGCCCAAAACCCAAAACCTTCCATGGCCCAAGCATTTGAGGCTCAATAAGTCTTGCACTCCGTGCCTTCTTCCGCCCTTCCGCCTTGAACGCCATGGATGCCATGGAACTGACCCCGCAGGATCGTGGCATTTAGGGTGCTTTTCATGTAAAAAAACCGAAATAGGGTTGTTTAACGTTCAAACACGCTATTTTTAGGTTTATTCTTAATTTTAAAAGCCCTAAACCCTAAACCCTAAACCCTAAACCCCAAAACCCTAAACCCTAAACCCTAAACCCTATGAATGACCCTGCAGGATCGTCTCTATGACGCAGTCACGGCCATCAACGATGTGGCAAACGATCTCCAGCGTCGGCTTCAGACCGTGGACCCTTGGGGACCAAAGGAACCGTAAAATTGGATATATAGACATATGGATATATAGATTTTTTGACGGTATTTAGATATATATATTAATTAATTGATTAATTAATTAAGTAATTAATTCATTAATTGATTAATTAATTTATGTATTCATTTATTCGTTAGTTTTTGGAATATTTTCTAAGCCCTTTTAAGGGTCTGCAAGCCCTAATAACCCTAACCTTATAAACCCTCAACCCTTAAACCCCCAAAGGAGTGCTCGGAGAACGTGGATCTCTCGGACCCCCACAACATCGCGCAGATTGTGCAGGGAGTCGGTTTCATGACTCTCGCGATCCTTGGGGACCAAATGGAACCTTAAAATTGTGGGGCCATTTTTGCCTACATACTGCTATAGTTCCCTATTAAAATATACCCTCATACTATACTATAACTCCCCAGTAAAGAAAAGATGAGCCCTAAACCTTTTTCGGGTTCAAAATTGGCGCAAAAGGATGTGGCTGATCTTCGCCAACAACTCGAAGGTGGCTGTGGCGCAGAAAGCCCCGTTGCTAGGTCGGCCCTTAAGGGATATCCTTTGTATCTTTAACCTTATACTGGGTTCAAGAGGATCATATTCGCGGACCTATAAGCCCCCCGAAACCCTAAACCCTAAACCCTAAACCCCAAACCCTAAACCCTAAACCCTAAACCCTATAAACCCTAAACCCTATAAACCCTAAACCCTAAACCCTAAACCTGAACCCTAAACCCTAAACCCTAAACCCTGGTTTCCAGAGGGTTTTAAGGGCCATCCTAGGTTGGAGCAGCGGCACCAGATCTGCGCGACCATCAGCACCGCGGTCGCACTCTTCTCCGGCTTCTTCAACATCCTCCAGCTCCTTGGGTTTAAGGTTTAGGGTTTAGGGTTTAGGGTTTAGGGTTTAGGGTTTGGACCAAATGATCCTTAACAGTTTAGGGTTGAGGGTTTAGGGTTTAGTTAGTTTCCCTCTAGAATCCCTATTAAAGCTACATCCGTAAAATTGGGGCCATATACCCTAACACTACTAGAGTCCCAATAAGAGAATATATGACCCCAAAAAACCCTTTTAGGGGTTCCTATTTGGCCCCCCAAGGCTCACGGCGATCGATGATTTCGATTTGCCCGGCCGTCAAAACAACTTCACGCTGAACTTGTCCCGTCCTGTGGAGTGGATCCTGACCTGTCCCATCATGCCGCTCGGTTGCATGTTGTTGCATTTTCCCTGCTTGGGTTTATAAGGGACCCTCTATATATATATATATATATATATATATATACGTATATATATATATGTATATGTATATATATATATATATATTCCCTAAACCCTTTGTCAACCCTAAAGGCCAACCCAGGCAGTTGAAGTTGGTCGTGCTGGCAGGGGCACGAGTGCCAAGCTACCGCCGCTTCATGATGCCACTGATTTGTGTCTCTTAGTAGCTGAATGGGTACACTTTAACACTTTGTTGGGTTTAGGGCTTAGGGTTTAGGATTTAGGGTTTACGGTCCCCTTTAGAACTGAAAGTGTACACTTTCTTGGGGCTGATGAACTCAGCAACTAAGGTCTCGGTCCTCCTGTGCGGGACGGCCTCGATGTTCACGGGAGACGCGCTGCGCTACGCTTGGTACGTCTTTGGGTTGATGCTGGCACTCATCATGTTCTACCACAATGCCTTGCAGATCAAAGAGAACAGCGAAGGGGAAGAGTCCCTTTTCAGTGGCGACTCAGACTTCCGCAAGCTCTCCATCTTGCTCATCGTCACCTGGTTCCCTTTCCCCATCTGGTTCAGCTTGAGTCTTAGGGATACTTAGGAATATGTTTTTCAATTTTGGGCACACGAATTCCTAAGAAACAGCGAACATTGTGTTTTTTTCTATTGCTAGGGTTCCTGAAGTTCAACAGCTAAGTTGTAATCTTGGCTAGGGTTCCTTACTAAGTTCACGTTCAGTATAGGAGTGTGGAGGGCTTCGGGCTCATCACTGACGGCTTCATCATCGAGATGGGCTGGGCTTCTTGAGAGAAATTAACCCTACAAGGTCTTTTTCAGCCCATAGACCTCAATAGGGTGTTACAATCGCACATATATATATATATATGCATATATACACATATATATATATAAGTATACATACATACATACGTACGTACGTACGTACATACATACACACATACATACATACACATGACCCCGATTTTGGATTCATCTGACCCCCCAAGGTTGTCCTGAACATCGTGTCGAAGTTCACGTACATCATCTGGATGCTTGGCAGCCCTGTGGGGCCCTTTTCCCCTTTGCTTTTGTTCGAGGTTCCCCTTATTAAGTAAGCGAACCCCAAAAGGGCAATATAGGTTACCTAAACACTAAACCCTAAACCGTAAACCCTAAACCCTAAAAGAAACCCTAAACCCTTGTTATATTATGGTTTCTTGGGTTACCCTAAGGATGCAGCGCATGAAGATGGTGCACCAGCGCAAGATCGAGGCGGCGCGCGAGCTCTACGGCCTCTCACCCTCCGACGAGAACCTTGGTAGAGTTTGGGTAGCTTTTTGGGCTTTAGGGTTTAGGTTCAGGGTTTTGGGTTTAAGTCCTTTTGTTTCGGATTTAGGGTTTAAGTTCTTTTTTGTATGTGTGAGTGTGTGTGTGTGTGTTTTTTTTTTTCATTTTGGGGGCGGTATTCTAAACCCTATGTAAGAGATCCCTTAGTAGTGGAGGAGGTATGTTTTTTGACCTATTGAAATTGTTTGAACCTTTTTTTGGGGCGGTATAATGACCTTTAATGGTAATCGATTAGTAGAGGAGGTGATGTTTATCTTTTTTTTTTTTTTGGGGGGGGGGGGGGGGGGGGGGTACGACAACCCCTATAATGAATCCCAAAGGTTATGACCTTGAGAACGAAGGATCAACGAGGAAGACCTGAAGAAGCAGGCCTTAACCAACGGAGTTCCTATATCCCGCTTCGGAATTACTTTTGTGTTTTTGTTTTGTAATAAACCCAAGAGGATATTAGAAATATTATTCTTAAGGTTCTAAGGGGAGTACAGATTATTCTTATGAAGGTTCTAAGGGGAGTATATATTATTCTTATTAAGGTTCTAAGGATAGTATATATTATTCTTATTAAGGTTCTAAGGATAGTATATATTATTCTTATTAATTTTAAAAAGGGGAGAAAAGGTTCAGAATGGAGGGGTCTCGGCGGAAGCCTACGGCTTGGGTGTGGGTGAGGAGGCAGACAGCGAGAACAAGCTTGTTGAGCTGCTCGGATGCCCACTAGTGCCCTTGCTTTTTCACCTTTTTTTTTTGGGGGGGGGGGGGGGGGTTCCTTTCTGAAGCCCTTTAAGCGAAAAAAGGGGGCACCCTTTTCGTAATGCTAGGCTACTGGGGTAGCCGAGGCTGGTTGCAGAGACCATGGTGACGCTTGGGATGAGCGCGCACACCGACCGGCTCTTGAAGTTGATGGTCGAGAACGGTGTGACGAACACCGCAGTCCTGGAACGACTGAATCTATCTCCCGCTTGGGAAGCTGGTTGTTTATATAAAACCCAAGAGGATATTCAAGATATGATTTTTATGAAGGTTCTGAGGGGAGTAGAGGAATGCGGAGCGCTGTATGGAGCTGAATCTGCCCTTCGCCCTCATCGATGCGGCGCAGCGCCGTTGGACGGCCGAGAAGATGAACATGGGCCAGGACAAGGGCGGCAACGTGGAGAAGGAGGACCCTTTCAAGAAGCTCTTGGAGGCCAACAAGGACTCACTTCTCGCCTTTAGTTGAACTTTAAACTTTTTGGGGCTTCCTCATTTAGTTGGAATATTAAAGTTTAAACTTTTTCCCCCTTGGTTATTGGAGAAGTAAGAGGAGCGCGTGAACGTCAAGAATTTGGGGAACTCCCTGCCCGGCATGTTCTCCGGCATGAACACGCCGCCCGTGGCGGGAATGGGGGGCATGGGCATGATGGACCCTGGAGCCCTAGAGGAGCAGATGATGTCGGTGATGAATCGAGTGATGGTACCCTTCCAGGACATGGTCATGGGTCGGCTCCAGTCTATGGAGGAGAACATGCAGCGTCAGCTGGAATCGACGCAAGAGGCCATCTCACAACGCATGGACTTCTCCCAGGTCTCGCTGCTGCAGACTGTCAACGCCTGCCAGGTCCTGCTTCACAAGCTTGACTCATCTCAGGAGACCGTGATGCAGAAGATGGACACGCAGAAGTCCATCGTGGACCGCATGGTGGAATCCTACTCCGGCCTTGTGGACAACATCGACAGCGCCAGCGACAACACCAAGAGCGCCTTGCTGGACACCGTGAACACGTCCTCCCAAGCCATGCTCAAGAAGTTGGACTCCACACAGCAGGACCTCGGGAGGTTTCCCCCCCCCCTGCCCTTATACTATCGTAGTCCTTAATAGGGCTTTTCATAAAGGGGGTCATAAGGAGCTGCTAGTATAGAGGGGAACATATCCCAGGACCTCTTGAAGCAGACCCACGAGTCGCATGCCGTCCTCCAGGGCGTGGCTCAGACGCAGACAAGCTTGGCAAAGAAGGTGGACTCAGGAAATGAGTTCACGCAGCGCCGCCTTGTGGAGATGGAGAACTGCATTGGCAAGAAGGTGTCGGAGGTCGGCGACTCACTGACTCGCTCGCAGACCGTGAGCTCGGACAAGGTCCTTGACTCCCTGCGCAACGACTTGGCCACCCTCGCTGAGCAGGGCAACGCCATGGTGGATGCCACGGAAAAGTCGGCGAGCGTGCAGGAGGAGCGCATGTCAGATGTCCGCCGCCAGAACATGATGATCCTGGATCTGCTGACTCAAGCCCAGGACACTACTACTTGCTTAAGAACCCGAAAAGAGTAAAATAATATTAATCCCTATATATTTCCCTAATAGAGAAGAAAATCTATTTTTTGGGGGTTCTTATAAAGCAATTTGTAGGAGACCATGCACACGAGTGCGGAGTCCCTCCAGAGCTTCACGCGCTCGGAGATCATGCGCGACTCCGCAGCGAACATGGAGATGCAAATCCGCGAGGTCACCGGATGCCCAGTAGTACCCTTATTCCCTTTTTGGGGGGGTTTAGGTTCCCTTATAAACCCGTTTAAGCAAAAAGGGGGCACCCTTCTTAAGCCTTGGTTACTGGGCAGCCTAGGTCATCTTGGGGCAGATGAGCAAGATCCAAGAAGCCTTCCTGGGTGATGGGGGTGAGGGAGGCTCCTTCAAGGATGCTGTCTACAACATGGTGGCAAAGTTGGAGGAGAGCGCTTTGCGCATGGAGGCTGCCACAAGCACAAGCTCCGGGGGCCAGGACCAGGGGGAACTCACGGAGAACATTCGTCAGGAGCTAGCTGCCTTGGCCATGGCTCTCTCGCAGCAACAGCGTGAGAACTCGCAAGAGAGCTTGGCGCAAGTGAGCGAGGCCCTCCGACAAGAGCTGCTGCCGCTCAAGGACAGCCAGACGCACGTCTCCGGTGCCTTGGACGCAAAGGTCTCCGAGATCCAGAACTCAATGACTGAGAACATGATCCGCTTCGAGGAGGGTATCGACAAAGTGCTGCAGACAGTGGAGGCTTCTACGACAAGTGCGGGGAAGCCCTCTAGCGCCGAGAAGCGGGGCGCGCGTGCGGCCGACCGTGGCTGAAGAGTGCAAGACATGGAGCATTCGTGAGACCGCTGAATGCTGGCCTGTTTTTTTTGCTACAGTTGCCGATGCTGTCCGATTGCACAACAGGGTTTGCGCAGAGAAGAGTAGAATCGAGTAGAACGCAGGGGATGTGGACATGTTGAGAACGTGAGGCCTTCTAATTATTGATGCTGCCTCTTAAGCTGTTGCAAATCTGACAGTTGGCAAGCCACAGGCCCGTCTTCCACACGAAGTCTCAGTGGTTCATCAGCTGCAGCGACACTTTGTTGCGCTCCAGCACAGCAAGTGGTTTGATTCACTTCATGCAGCGAACGTAGCTGCGCTCCCGTCAGAGCAACATGTAGTTTCTCTGCAGGGTTCTTTGCAACACCTGCACCGAGCGTTTCTCCTTGAGGCTCGCGCCACCCTATAAGCAAACAAGTCTAAACAGCATCAGGCTCTCAGTGAGTGTATGTGTGTGTGTGTGCGCGTTTGCGTAATATGTTCTGCATGTAAGTACCATGTGTCTTTACATGAAGTATGTCCAGGGTTGACTTGAGCCAAGCGCTTGCTTGTACAGTGGGCGAATTGTCTCTGCCAGCCTCCGTGGCATTTGACGTCGCGCTTTTGCTTTGCTCATGCAGCAGAAAGCAGCTGCGACGATAACAGGAGTACCTTACTGTCAATTTCTGGGGTATCGTCAGGTTGCTTGCAGAACGACAAGGAGTTGCAACTTGCAATGAGTTGCATGGGTGAGAGCACAGAGGGCGCAACTCCACTGCACAAGAAGTGCCGGGTATGGGTCCCTGAAGCCAAATCTGGCAGCTGGTGTGAATTCTTTTAACGTCCTCTCTGCAAAAGCACATTGGACGCCGCGCAGTGCGTGAAATCACGTGGGTTCGTTCCGGTTAGTTGGCTGATCCCGTGTCTGCTCGATGGCTTGTCGTCCAACTTTACAGAAGCGGTGTCCTGAAGACGAGGATACTTCGCACGCTGGTTGTCCCTTCTCTGGGAGCGGCACTCCCACTTTTTGTAGGACCCGTGCACGTGGAACGACGCCAGGCACAGACACCATTTGCTGCATTCCCAGGAACCGTCTAGCTCATGCGTCACCCTGAAGCCATCAGGCCCCAAAATTTGGCGACAAGACTATGGGAGCCAGGTTGACCAAGAGACGCACAGCAAATTCAGGATTCTTGGGGGCAGGCCAACTTTCGCTTCCCAAGGGAGCAGATGTACTTGTATCTCGCAAGGGGTCCCTTGCACGTCCCACGCACCTTGAGGCATATCTTCAAGCAGCCTTCCCGACTGTCCAGTCTTTGGACGCCGTACACACTGCCCAAGCCCCTAAACCCTAAACCCTAAACCCTAAACCCTAAACCCTAAACCCTAAACCGATGGGACTTGCCGACCCTGACAGTGGCGACTTGCAGAGCAAGAAGCCAAGAACTCGCAGTGGGCCTGCATGGTGCCTTGCCGAAGAAAACAGAACATGGTTGCCCTTAGGGTTTAGGGTTTAGGGTTTAGGGTTTAGGGTTTAGGGTTTAGGGTTTAGGGTTTAGGGTTTAGTGTGTCTGCTTGGCGGGTGGCACAAGAACCCACCATGTAACTAGGGACCCTGAACCAGGGAAGGGGGTGGGGCGGGGTTTACGAAGAGCCCACTAAATTTAAACCACTCTCGAAGATTTGTGCCGCAATGCGTCCACATCTCCACGTGCAGGCGCCCAAGCCACCAACCAGCGTGGCACCTGCACAGAAGCGGCCAGATTTCAGCGGCCGGAAATATGTGCAACTTGAGGCAGCGCGTTTCGAGTTTTGGCATGTCAAGACTGCGCTGCTCGCACCTAAACCCTAAACCCGAAAACCCTGAAACCCTTAAAACCCTAAAACCCTAAACCGACATTCGGCTTCGCCAGGGCAAGTTGTCATCTTCGAGCACAGACTCCGACGTGGAGGGAGACAGACTAGGACAAGGGAGTTGGGAGACTGGCTGGTTCTTAGTAAGGGTTTAGGGTTTAGGTTTTGGGTTTAGGGTTTAGGGTTTAGGGTTTAGGGTTTAGGGTTTAGGGTTTACGGTTTAGGGTTTACGGTTTAGGGTTTAGGGTTTGGAATGAGGGAATTCAGGCCCTGTATATGCTTTTTTAAGGGACTCTACGGGGTCCCAATTCCCTCATTCCCTACTAAGAACCAGGGAGTTGAAATCCTAACCCTAAACCCTAAACCCTAAACACTAAACCCTAAACCCTAAACCCTAAACCCTATAAGCCCTAAACCCTGTAGGCCCTGACATCCGTTTGCTGAGGGACTCGGTTCTGCAACTTGCCCGTCTTGGGGATTCGAGCAGAGAAAGAGCACCATTGCTTAGGTTGCTCTAAGACCTGCAGACTACGGCAGGTCTTTAATATGCGGAGGTTGAGGGTTTAGGGCGTTGCAGCAGTCCTGGCCGTAAAGCAGGGCTTAGGGTTTAGGATTTCGGGGTTAGGGTTTCGGGTTTGGGGTTTAGAGTTTCAGGTTTAGGGTTTAGGGTTTTTAGAGTTTAGGGCTAATTGATAGGGGTTGGATATTACGGTAGGGGTTGAGGGGTGGTTATGGGACAAATCGTGCAGGGGAGATGACCACCATTGCCTCACTGTTGGTTAGCAGGGAATGAGGGAGTTAGGGCCCTCTATAAATATAAATGTATATATATATATATATTCCCGTTAAAAAATTGTGTAGGGTACCCCATTCCCCTATTCCCCCATTCCCTACTGACCAACAGTAAGTTGCAGGAGACCCTAAACCCTAAACCCTAAACCCTAAACCCTAAACCCTAAACCCTAAACCCTTAACCCTAAACCCTAAACCCTAAACCTAAACGACCATTGCAGGAGAGGGGGGGGCTGCACTGTCGCTTACTGCGTTGAGTTTGCAGCGGCAAGAACTCTGGAAAGTGCGTTCGAGGCCGGGGGAGTCCATTGGGTATAGGGTTTAGGGTTTCGGGTTTAGGGTTTAGGGTTTAGGGTTTCGGGTTGATGCGCCGAGGTGTCCTGCATTCCAAGCACGCCAAAACCCTCGAATGCTATTGATCTCATCACCCTAAACCCTGAACCCTAAACCCTAAACCCTACACCCTAAACCCTAAACCCTAAACCCTAAACCCTAAACCCTAAACCCTAAACCCTAAACCCTAAACCCTAAACCCTAAACCCTAAACCCTAAAACTTAAACCCTAAACCCTAAACCCTAAACCCTAAACCCTAAACCCTAAACCCTAAACCCTAAACCCTAAACCCTAAACCCTAAACCCTAAACCCTAAACCCTAAACCCTAAACCCAAACCCTAAACCCTAAACCCGAAACCCTAACCCTAAACCCTACCATAAACCGTAACGGCTGCACTGGAGGCGACATGGCCCAGCCCTGACATGGAGCCGACAACACAGCGAGGGCTCGCCCTGGGTTCAAAAGTTCATTCCCGGTTTGTGGGGGGGGGGGGGGGGGGTTTAGGGTTTAGGGTTTAGGGTTTAGGGTTTAGGGTTTAGGGTTTAGGGTTTAGGGTTTAGGGTTATCTTTGGTAGCCAAGAAGAACCCAAACCTTGCAGTTGCCTAAAGTATCCTACAGAGGCATTCTGTAGGCAGGGTTTGGGTCTTGACGCTTGACACTGCTCATGGTTGAAACAATGCTTGCGGAAGACGGCTTAGAGCGCAAGGGTTTAGGGCTTATAGTGCCTTAGAACTTAGGGCGGAAGCCAAAAGCATGTGCTACGCCAGGAAGCTCGCCAATGACGAACTGCGAGTTCTTGTTTGACCGCCCCTGCCTCAGACCCAAGAAACAAGTTGCAACCCCCACTGCCCTAAATCCCGCACAGCCGTGCAGGAGGGAAAGCTGCGTTGTAACAAGCAAGCACTAAACTGCAGGCCCCAAGAAATCTCAAGGACCCTCCAACCGGCATGCGCTAGGGAGGCACCAAGAAAGAGCCCGGAGACCAGTAAGCTGCACAAAGCACAGCCCAAATGAGTGTTCAAAATCAACATCGGATGCCCTGTAGTAGCTAGCCCTTGTTTAGGGTTTAGGGCTGAGGGTTTCGGGTTTAGGGTGCTAGTGTTCGGATGTCATAAAGGCTCGCTTTTAAGGCATTCCTCTGGTTACTGCGAAACTTAGAAGGTCTCGCCAGCCTGCTTGTCCTCAAGATTCCCGTCGGACCTCTCAAGCACTAAGCGCGGGAGGGGGCAGAGGTAGGAGGGAGGGTTTAGGGTTTAGGGTTTAGGGTTTAGGGTTTAGGGTTTAGGGTTTAGGGTTTAGGGTTTAGGGTTTAGGGTTTAGGGTTTAATTCAGATGCAATTCCCTTGTTCTCAGGTTCTGTCTCCAGCCCCTAGCTGCTGATCAGGCTTTGACTCAGAGCTGTCACTCTTGTTATCCAGCCCCCCTATTAGGGTTTGGGGTTTAGGGTTTAGGGTTTAGGGTTGCCTTGGGGCATTACAGGCTTTAGGAAGACTTCCAAAGGTGACAGCTCAAGCTCAAGTCCAGACAAGGGAAGTGGGTCAGCACGTGGTGGTTGGAGAGTTGCCAATTGGGTTTAGGGTTTAGGGTTTAGAGTTTAGAGTTTAGGGTTTGGGGTTTTGGGTTTAGGGTCCAGGGTTTAGGGCAGCTCAGCAGTCGTTCTGCGTGGGGCACAGCAAGATGAGGCATGCTACTGGTGCAACTAATCCCAGCCCCTGCGTGTGGCCGAGCCCATGTCAGCAAACATACTGGAGAAATCCGCATGTTGCGGTTTGAGTATGTTGCCGCCCTGTTTCATGCATGCGCACGCCGTTCCTGAAAGACTGATCCTGAGTTGCTGTGAGGCAAGTGTTGTAAGGAACGAGCATTTAGGCAGGGGCCCCTATGAAAGAAGCATTCAAGACCGACCGCGCGTTTGAAGGCGAGTTGCGACTTACCCATGGGCGGTTCTCTACTTTATGGTCCCGCTGAAAGTCGTCAAGATTATGTGGGGCCTTGTAGTGTTCGGGCGCGCCCGAAAGGACCATAACTTTTG